AGCATTACAGTTTGCCAGCCAAATTGCAGGAAATTTGAGAAACTCAGCTTAGTAGCTGTGACTATGGCTTGTAGTCTCAACAATAAAATTTAAATTCAGTTTACCTGCAAGTAGCTGTTTGTAGCTTACTCTTCTGTTTCCTGTAGAATGGGAAGCACTAACCTTGGTGAAAGATCTCTCTCACTGTTATGAGTGAAAGAGCTCCAATTTCTTGAGACATCACAGAATAAGCAAAGCTGTTGAGAGGTACAACAATTACAGGGGACTTCTTAAGGGGAGTAGGGCTTAGTAGCTTGGGTCAGGTACATCCCTGTTTGTAAGACTCACTCAGGAAAACCTTTTGAGAAAGAAATAATGTCATTTGGTCTTTTTAGAGAGGAGGCCAGCCTGTGGATGGTCACACAGAAGCACATTCCCAAGATTCTCAACAGGGCTCTGGGGGGAAGAAATTGCAGCCAAACTTGCAGCCACATTTGCTGTCACCTGAGGACTTCATGGGAAAACAGTGTCACCAAACCACAGGTAGGTCCCCCAGCTCTAAACTGTAGCAGTTACAGGTCCTCCTCCAATGCATACAGGACTGCAAGGGCAAAGTAGTTAACTTCCCAAAAATGTCAGGGAGGCAAAGCAGTCCCTGCATCTGTATCAGGAGATAAGGAGCCAGTCATTCTTTTTTGGGATGGTAATATAGTTTTGTGGTGCCTACTGAATTGGGGAAGGGCTAAAGTTCTAGGCCAGAAGAGTGCTGGGGGTAAGCTTTTTTAGCACGATCATACTCTATTGCAGGGCATTCGAGTACACAAAGCTGAAAATACAGCTGAATTCTTTTCTGAGAGAAGGATTCAGCTAGGAAGGATCTCTACAGCAGTGCTGTAATTACTGAGGAAACGTAAAGACTGTGTCCACCTCTCATTAGGGTGTTTTTTCATGAAATATGAGGCCTGAAATATTACAGGTTCCATGGGACCATAAGGACTGACTACTTCTAATGTAGATGTTAACCTCTGTATCATGGATAGGTCAAAACAGCCTTTGTAGCAATAAAACAGGTGCCAGAGGGTTTCCTATGTTTTCTGGTAGGCTTAAAGTGGGTCTTGAGACCTTGTAATTCTTTGTCAAGATCCCTGCCCTCTTGCTGAAACCAGTCCTTTGGGTCAATCCTTTAGTGTGACAAACTGGAAGAGAAGGAATTAGGTAGAGAGTTCCATTAACCTGAACCTTCCTGAGAAGAATTAAAAACAGACAGGACTGCTGCACTTCCAGTGACTGTGCCTTGTGTCATCTTTTCAGCTGAAGAAAGCAAGCACAACCCCAGAAAAGAAGGGGTGTTACAAAGAGAGCTGCAAGCAGAGCTCCAA